ACAATGCATACCACAGTAAGACATGTTGTATATTATAATATATATTATGTAGGAAATTATGTCAACATTGTATCGATTATACAATGACGATTAATACGATTGAAATTTGTCATTAGTTAAAAGATGTGTATAGAAGTTACAAGATATTTATAGCAAAGATATATTTAGTAAAGACTTAGTATGTAGCGCGAATGGTCATCTTGAGGTTTATTGATGAAATAAACTGTGTTTAAATAGTTTCGTGATGTTTGCAAAATATATGCTTGTATTGAATATCTTGTAATTCTGTATATATTTTCCGATTCAAATAGTTTCATGAGCCACAGTAAATATGTAGATATCGCACACTCGTGACAAAAGTGACACAATTCGAAAAGCTATATTTTCAAACGATTTTTGAACATGATTGGACAAAATTACAAAACTAACAACGTAGCTCAAAATAATACAGTAATGCATAATATCACACGAATCAGAAAAAGAAATAAGGTTTTCATAATTAATCGACAAATCTCTGTACAACATCCTCTTATAATAGTTACAAAATCGCATTTCTTCTGTTATATCGCTTTTGCCACGAGTGTGCATTTAAATTTAGTTAAAAACTGGTTGAAACTAATGATTAAAATTGGTCAAAACTAACACTTTTTTGAAACTCATACGTACATTAGCAAAAAGTTTTTAATCAGCCACAAGCATTCGAAAGTATCTAAAAATATTGAAATCTTGGGGATATAAAATACTATTCTAATATTTATTTAAAATATATGGGAAAATAAATTTAGCGATTTCAGTTCAATTTGTGAACACAAAACATTTCAATGTCCGTGAACATTTAGAAATACTTACGTTTGATTGAAAACTTCTCCTTGAGTATGATATTAACCGAAAATTATTTACATTGTAGATACATCATTCAATCAAAGTCGTATGATTGCCTGGACAAACTGACAGAAACTGGGGACGAATGAGATTATAAAATCTCGAGAAATCAAGCACCGACAGTCATCGAAATATCGTACATTTAGTTTGTTAAAATGAAACTTATCGAAGATCGACGTACCATTATCATTTCTTAATTTTGCGAGTAAGAGAACAATGTATATATATATATATTTTTTTTACGTATGATTTAAAGCACGTCGTTACGATTTATGATCATCATAATCTAATATTTCGTTTTCAACAACTTCTTTTTCATTCGAACACAATATCCGATGTTTCTTTAAAAAAAAGTATCTTCAACACGATGTGAGTAATTCGTAATTTGTTCGGACGTGCCGGTTCATTTCTCCTGTATTTATGCGAATTGATTTAGATTTACGTTAATTAATTCTCATAAAATGATAATAATTGTGATATCGGTTGATCATATTACTAATCATTATTTCAGATTAACGAGATTCATTAATTTCTCTGCTTTTATTCGATAAATTTGTAGACGTTTGTATCCCTGTCATGGTAAGTTTGTGTTAATTATTTAAATAATTAAATTAAATGTCAATTTGATACGTTGCAATATACATACGTAATATTAAAGTAAAAAAGATATTTACGTTGATCTGTGTTATGGTCGTCAGTGTCGTAAGTATAGTTTAAAATTATACTCAATATTTTCTTTCTATCAAAAAGGACTGATTTATTTCGATATGGCTTCGTTTATGGTATTGCAAAGATAAAGGATAATTATAATGGATCGCTAGACTACGGATTTTTATGTACAGAAAATTAAGTTATAAAATTCCACGACATATATGTATATATATATATAATATGTGAAAACTAAAAAAATATATATATACATAAAATATATAAAACGTACAAATATTAAAATGAATGTTATTAAAATTAACATCTAGAACATAAAAAATATCCAAAGTATGTTTTCAATAAAATTTGGTTGCATATATTTAATATAATAACGTTTGGTTCTATGTTACCTACATGTTTAATTATATTTCCAAAAATTGTGTTATATTCTTTTAATGATACTTATTTTTCAAAACTACTCAGAACTTAAAACTACTATAATGTAAATAATTTGCATAAAAATTCGTAATCTACAGATCACTATACATACAAGTCATATCCTGTTAGATGTAGCAAGCTAACATTTTGGATCATGGCTGTTTGATTTCTATTAGTATAGCACGGACTTCATCTATGTTTTGTTTATGAAACATATGTTTAATTGATACGAGCTATATGCCAGTTCGAACTCATTATAACTGATAATGAATACTTGTCATTTACTCACTACTCAATTATGTGGTATAGAGCGTAATATTTAGTTGGTTAATAATTTCAAGCTACTGACTGACATCTAGAATGTCTACCTGAGAAATACTGTGATATTCATTGTAGTCGCATTCACTGCTATTGTACAAATTGTATTTAAAATAAATCTCTGGTTTTGTTAATAAATGTACGTACATGATTAATTCGCTTTCTTTGTTTCATTGTCATATTCAATTAATATCTTTCATATGTCTTATTCATTCTACTAATTTCATTGTAAATGCATTTCAGGCTTCAACATGTAGCGGAGATTGCCTTTTAATTTTCGATTAAAGGAATGCAGCATTTATGAGAAATTTAAAGGC